CCCATCCTGCCTCCCTACAATCAGCAGCTCCCGTTCTGTTCTATATACCAAATGTCAGCGCTCCAAGAACAAATAATGGAAGGAAAAAAGAGGCCTGATCTCCGAAACATATAATATATAAAAAACCGATATATAATACCTCAAAGTCGGAAAGCCTCAAGCTCCCTTGCGGGATACTATACAGACTCATAGCGATGCGGACTGGACACGGTGACTTTGCAGCCTATCATATTAGATTCAATTACGAAAATAGTATGAATATCTATATATACGGAATTGAAAAAAGCCTATTATATTTTTTTCAATATTTAATCAATAATCAGATATACAATGACTAACTGCTTATACCAAATCGATTTCGATCTGAATAAAACACAATAGCATATATCAACTACATTCTGTAAACACAATATAGCTTTACTGACCTTTTCACTAAATCCAGATTCTATATTAGGATATACTCAAACTATACGAAACTACACGAATTCTAATCTGCTTCAATATTCTGAGAATAAACTCTCCACTCCAATCAATCTAAAACCCGCACCAAACAGCCATAAGCACTCTAAGCGCTCTCCCGATCGATAACAATCGATCTGATCATCCGCCGATATCCAGATAGTATATGAAACAAGGCCCTCTAAAATAAAACCACAAACCCTTAGACAAAACAGCCGCAGGATCACCATAAGCAGTACTGAGCGGGGGAATACCAAAGGCAACAAGCCCCTGATTAGCTAACATTACACTACTATGAGCGGCTGGAACACTAGCAGCCCGTAGGCCCGCTCCTTAGTACATCTAGAATACCCCTTGAGAGGTCAGATATTAGACGTTAATCACTATAAATAAATAAATAAATATAATTATACTTGTTAGATAAGCCAATTACAAACTAGAAATATTAAAAGAAAGTCTTACTTATATATATCTTCATTATTTAATCTATTTTTCTTATTATCCTCCTCCTCACTAATAGAATTATTATTATTTCCTATTACAACTCGACTTTTTCTCTTCCTTAATAAAATATTTGCTTTATATAATAGAAAAAATAAATATTCTCTTTACCACAAACTATAAAAAAATATATCAATAAAATAAATATAAAAGAAAAATAGCTAATTTACTATTATATATATATCCTCCCACTACTTCAATTATACTAACAATAACTTACTTTTATTATTACATTTTCTTAATAATATAAAAGATATATTGATTATTGATCAAAAAATATAAAAAAAATAAATAATTAAAAAAGATTTGAAAAAGAGAGAGAAATTCGAATAATCTATATACTTTGAAGACTTTATGTTATTATTAGACTATAGAACGATTTTCTCCATTTCCCATATACCTTTTTGTTACAAAAAAAGCAAAATTTGCATATATGCCTGTTTACTATGTTATACTACAATATAAACAACAACATCTTATTAAGATTGCCAATGTATTTATAGATTAGGTAATTGTAAAGCTTGAGGGTAAGCTTTTTTGAAAGGAGGGGTAGTGTTACAGATTACACCCAATTACAATTATAATTACTTACATACATACTTACGCATATATACAATCATATATATATAACTAGTATATAGAAGTACTTTACAAGTACTTTGCTTCCAATTCTGTAGTTATAGATTCTAAGGATAAATTGTACCCTGCTCTCGCAGTTCTTCTAAGGCAAAGTGTCACACAAAGTGTTCTATAACAGAATATATATGCATGGTTATGTTTATGTTTATATGTAATAACAAGATGAACAAACAGTTCGTCGCTCAAGCGATTGAGAATTCATCTGAAATACGTCACGTCCATGTCATGCTTGGCTTTACCTCTCAATTTCAATCTCAATCTCAATTTCAATCTCAATCTCAATTTCAATCTCAAGCTCAATTTCAATCTCAATCTCAGATCTCAACATCCTCTCTATCCCATCTTTAACACCCAATCTATTCTAACCTATTCAGCCTCCAGGATTTTAAAGAACATTGCATCAGATTATATTATATTATATTTATCTTATATTATATTATATTATATTATATTATATTTATATTATATTATATTATATTTTTTTAATATTATATTAATTATATTATATTCATATTCTATTATATTATATTATAATTATATTATATAATATATATTATATTATTATTATATTATCTTATATCCTATCGCCTCACGCTCCCTTGCAGGATACTCACACAGACTCTAGCGAGCGGACCAGACCATGATCACTTTGCAGTCTCTCATTTTAGATTCAATTATGAAATAGCATAAATATCTATACATATAGAATTGAAAAAAGCTCATTATACTTCTTTCAATATTCAATCAATAATCAGATACACAATGACTAACTGTTTATATCAAATCAACTTCGATCGAATAAAATGTGATAGTATATATCAACTATGTTCTGTAAATACAATATAACTTTACTGATCTTCTTACTAGATCCAAATTCTATATTAAGATATACTCAAACTACACAAAACTACACAAATTCCAATCTACTCCAATACCCTAAAAATGAGCTCTCCACCCCAATCAACCTAAGATCTATATCGAATAATCATAAGCACTTCAAGCACTCTTCCGATCGATAATAATCGACCTAATCATCCACCGACATCCGGATTGATATAAAAACAAGGCTCTTTAAAACAGAATCACAAACCCTTAGATAGAAACAGCTGCAGGGATCGCTAGAAACAATACTAAATAAGGGAATACCAGAAGCAACAAGCCCTGATTAGCTAACATGACACTACTAAAGCAACTGTGAACACTAGCGGCCCGTAGGCCCCTCCTGAGAAATCTAGAAGAACCCCTGTTAGGGAGAATCAGATTATTAACGTTAATTAACTATAAATAAATAAATAAAATATTATTCATATCATATCATATCAATCAGAGCATATCAGAGCATAGCATCAGGCATATCAGATCATATCAAGCATATATACATAAATAGAGAAATAAAATAAAATAAAATAAAAGAAAATAAAATAAAATAAAATAAATAAAAAGAATAAAATAAAATAAAAAGAAAATAAAAAAATAAAAATAAAATAAAATAAAAGAAAAGAAAAGAAAATAAAATAAATAAAATAAAATAAAATAAAATAAAATAAATAAAATAAATAAAATAAAATAAAATAAAATAAAATAAAAAAAATAAAATAAATAAAATAAATAAAATAAAATAAAATAAAATAAAAAAAATAAAATAAAATATTGAACATCCTACATACCACTAGATCCTAGATCTCAGATCCTAGATAGAAACTTCAATTTTCTTTCCAGATAATAAAAGCGTTTAGAATTGATACTGAGATGTCTCAATATCTCAAGATCTCAAGATCTACAAAAAGAAATATGAGTATATATATATTCATTTATAAGTTTCAAGATATATACACTACAGTACACACCACACACCATATAAAAACACAAGATATACTATACACTCTCTTCTTCTCCCCCTTTCCTTTCATCTTCGTCTCTCCCCTATTTACTCCCTATTCCCCCACCCCATTCAATTATAAGTAATTTCGAATAGAGGAATTAGAGAAATATAAGTATATCTAATCTAACCATCTAACTATCTAACCATCTAACTATCTAACCATCTAACTATCTAACCATCTAACTATCTAACCATCTAACTATCTAACCATCTAATCATCTAACTATCTAACTATCTAACTATCTAACTATCTAACCACCTAACCACCTAATCACCTAACCACCTAACCATCTAACACCAAAATACCAAAATACCCCTCCCCTCCCCTCTCCTCGCTTAACGAGCGATTTAATGTATACTAGATATATAAAATACTACTATCATTAAATTATCATATATCATATATCCCTACAAAATCACTCCAAAATCTATAATCTATACACAATATCCATATTCATATTCAAATACACAAAATACCTACCTACTTACCTACCTACCTACCTACACCAAATGAAAATATATATTCAACAAATCTCACAAAATCTCAAGCAGTATATAAATATTAAATACAAAATTCATTCATTTATTTATTGATTTACACATACACACACATACACACACATACAAGACAAATCTTCAACATCATTCAAATCCCACTTTTTGAATACTAGATACTTTTACTACTTTTCATTTTCATCTTTCCACATACTATATAAGCACCTCTCTTCCAACGACTTTTAGTATATTCGCTCTCCAGTATTTTCATTTCATTCCATTCAATTCCATCGATTCCTATTCCATTTAATGCATACCATACCATACGTAGAAAATCAAGCGTAGGTATGTACATCCTCACCATCTCGCATGCATATACTATATCTAATCCATCCATCCATCCATCCATATGTCTTCCTTTTGGTCACTTTCATCCATCCATCCATCATTCTATGATACACCCCATCAGTCCCCCCAAAATGCAACAAAAACCCACAAAAACCATTCATCCATCCAGTTATGCATCCTAAGCTCCTTCCTCCCATCCCACCCCATCCCATCTTTTACTTTATCCCACCCAAGCCCCATACAACATCCCTCAAAAATACTTAATTCCCTAACTACATTCCACATTCCAACTCCTCCTACCGCAAGTCAAAAAAAGCAATTGCAACATCTCTGGGTATAGTGCCATTTCTCCCATCCCAAAAAATAAACCGTATAATGTGCAAAAGTTCAAGTCGAAAAACAAAATCAATATCGCAAACGCCATCTCCACCCACACCTACACCATCCCAGTTTCCATGACCATCCTATACTATTCCCACCGAAATGCTTTTGGTATTATACCTATAGAAAAAGTGTGTAACAACAAAAAATATGAAGAAGTAAAGTTATAATAAAGAAGCGATTCCGAGAAATTATATTTTCGTATTCGTGAAACGTCGGATTTTACCACAAAGAGGATTGTATCGTAGGAATCGTAGAGCAAGGTAGAATAACCAGCATGAGGTACAAAAAGTGACTAAAAGTCAACTTGCTTTTTCCAACCCCATTGATCCTTCTTGTTGAATGCTGTACAAACTTCCATGCAATATGATGTAATTGTATCAACACTGGTCCACGGTCCAATAATTGTAGGTTCACCCTTCAAGGACAAATCTTTCAAAAGTTTGTATCCAACATGATGACTTTGTCTCCATGCATCATGCCTTTTCAAATCTTGTGATTGTTGTTTAGACCAAATTCCACGATCCTTTGCTCGATCATCTTCAGTATTACCTGGTGAAGTAGGCATGCTAATAAAAGCACGAGTCGATACTTCAAGACAAACAGCATTAAGGTGAGCAGATAATACTTGAAGAACAGGAATATCTTCACTGATATTTTTAAGCCAAGCAAGCATTGGAATAATTGTATCCCAATTTTGAGCATTCTGACTTCTTTGACTGTAGCTAGTTTCCCTAGGACTAGCACAAGGAAGTCTATTGAAATATCTCATGTACTGACAGATACTTTCAATTACAACTATAACCCCAGCCGTCCGTTCAGCAACAGGCTTAAGTTGATGTTGATTACCATTAATCCTTGTCTCACGTTCGCCTCTCTTCTTGAGACTATAGGCCAAAGTTTTAAGTTGGTCAGATCTACTCGTAGAGATACTCTGAGGAGTCGTTACAGTGATATTTGCGCCCGAGGGAGTTTGAGGATTTCCATCACTAGAAGAAACTCTAACCATAGCGGTACCCCGAGAACCCTCATTCTTCTTAGGAGTAGCAAGTAAACCTTTTTGAGATGGTCCAGGGCGCGTAGGAGATTTCAATGGACTAGGGACAGTCTTTCTAGCCGTGGTAACATCAAGATTCTCAAGACGTTTCGCCCGCTTTATTGGTGGCTCAGCTTTTGAAGGTAGAACATCACTAGGGCGTTTCCTAGAGACGGTCTTTCTGCCTTGAGTTGATAAAGGTATATCCTCTTCAGATTCTGATACCGATTGATCCATAACAATATTGGCAGATAAAACAGGAGCTTTCTCTTTCTGTGAAAGATCATAAGCCATCATAGCTTCAAAGCCTTCCTTCTTTCTAATATTCTCAAGTCTGGTAAAATCTTGTGAAGGTCTTGGTGATAATCTAACTAATCGTTCAATAGTTGTAGCTTTCCTCCTAGAATAAGGCAACTTGACAATTAATGATTGATTTGCAGTTGGAGCTTTTGAAACCTCACGAGGTTTTTGTAGGGGTGTATTTGAGGCAGATCTTTTTGGAGGATGACCGACTTTGGCACCAGTAACAGTCTTACGGGCAACACCAGGTGCATCTGGTTTACGAGCTTGAGTATGACGTTCTTCAACGGTCAATGAATTCGACTTTTCTTGACGATGCTCAGGTGCAGAAGAAGTCTTTTCTCCTTCCCTTTGCTTATGTTCCGCCAATGCTGCTTCGACAATGGGAGGAAGTGTTGGTGAAAGTAAAGGTGGAAGTACGAAGGGGGATACAGTTCTTGGAGGAGTTGTTGGTGGTTCTTGTTGCAATGATAACTCTTTAGGTGGAGGTTTCTTTCCACTGACGGAAGTCTTGGACTTTGATGGAGTGTTTGACGTGGATGCCTTTTGATCCGATTTCTTAGGGCTATCAAACGTGGTAGGAGTTGTTAAATCGGCGGGAAGTGGTGATAGTAATGGTGGTAAATGATTAATAGGTTTTCCTGATGATTTGTATGATTTCGTCTCCCTGCCTCCCTTGGAGGATTTAGATGCATGGTCATCTGACTTGCTCAAATTGGAAGGAGGGGCTTTTCCCTTGGATGAATTATTATCTGGTTTGACGATTTTTTGAAGATGCGAATTCGCTCGATCAGTTCTGGCACGCTTTTCTGCATGTGATGGTTCATCTGATTCAAGTGATCGTTTATTGTTTCTGCCATCTGAAACCACTCTTCGTGGAGACTGTGGCCGAGGAGGTAAGCTGTGCTTCATGGGTGCATTCCATGTGGGAATTGAAGGGCTCATTTTGGAGGATGATTTATTTTGTGGTGCATTTATTTCCTTTGATCTCGAAATATCCTTTGTTTGCTCTGTGCGAGTTTTGACGCCATTGGTGCCATTGGTGAGATGATGTGGTCTGGATGGGTTGCTTCGGGAAGGGGGATTTCTATGACGTTCTTAGCGTTTGCTAGTAGTATTATGGATATATCAATCATTGAACATACCTATCAATGCCATTCTTGACTACATGCTCTGATCTACTCGCAGAGTGTACCGCAGACCCATTCCTTGTACTTCGCATTTGAAGAACTCTCGAAAGACCCGCGAGCTGCTGGAGTCGCATTGGAGATATTGCTTGTTGTTCTTGCATGCCCTCTCGGACGCACTGAATCCGGGGTATCAGATGTTCTTGGTGTAGGCTTGATTCCATCTTTCTTCATCTTTTGGTAAGCCGCAAGAGAGAACTTTTTGTTTGGGTCTCTCTGAGGAGTATTCAAACTACTTCGACCTGCACTATTTGTTGGACTCTCGACTGGATCTTCATGATCAAAAGCTCGCGGAACCTGAAGGTCGCGATCTCCTGTGGAAAAAACAGTCATGTATTGAAGCCTGCGAGCTTCTGAATGTTCGTTGGGTAGGGTCCAAGGTATCCCTATGAGTTCTTCGTGTGATCGCGAATTCCATCTTCCTTTTGTCGGCATCGATGATTCCAAGAGGTGCGGCATCCTGCAAACAGTCAATAAACGTGGTAAGACCATTCCTCGAATGTGCGAGCTCACTTCTGGGAGTTCATCTTGGGCAAAATCACGAAATAGGTTTTGCAGACCTCCGATGGTAGCTGTGTTTCTCGAAGCGACTTCCATAGCTTTCCTCTTTTCCATCCTCTCTGTGGCAAGCATATCAGCAATCACGAATGGATCAAATCTCTGCTTCACTATCCGATCGCGGTGTATGGACGACATTCTTGGTGGGAATCTGTTTTGGTGATATCTCTCATCGAAAACAAAGATGGATGAACTGAAGAGAGTGAATGGGAAACGTACCAAGATTAAAACGAATTTATGGTATGCGCGCAACGTGAAGTTATTTGGTAGGGGAGTTTGACAATAGACCGGTTTGAATAATTTTTTTGCTATTGTGACGTTTCGTAGCTATTGGTGAATATCACGGCCTAATCATTGTCGCAACAAGACCATATGCACCACAACAGAGTCGCGACAAGACGAAATTATGCGGGAAAGGTGAATTGAATTATTTCCCAGATTGAAGGGGAACCTTATCCTTTCGCGATTCAATGAATTATTGTCTTTCTTTCTTTCCAATTAAAGGTCCTTTTCTCCTTTTTTCTTATTTGTTATCGATTGCGTGAAGTCTGTCGAGGGAGATTGAAATTATGATCTATGGACGGAGGTAGGATTGTATGTAGTATGTAGTAAGTAGTCTGTGGTATGGTCTGGTATGGTCTGGTATGGTATGTGGTATGTAATTGTGTATGGATGGATGATTTGCGTGCGGTACGGGGGTAAGGTTACGAGGAGTGTGGTGGTTTGTTTGATGATTGTCGTGGTGGAATTGTTTGGTCGGGGCGTTTCTTTTTTTGGGGGTCCTTGCTCTCTGGGTGCTTTGGGTAACAGTGAGGGAGGTAGGTAGTCTGGTCTGATAGTAGTCTAGTACGAGGATAATAGTCTGGAATAGACTTTCACCACTCACCCACTTTTTGATTGGTATGGATGAGTGTCAAGGGTTGGTGAGATGGAGATGGAGATGGAGATGGAGAGGGAGATGAAGATGGGAGGGAGATGAAATGAAGATATACCTCGATATCCTTACCATACGCACACCGTCACATCTCGATTATTCTCGTCTCACAGATGGTCCGTTACTATCTCTTTAACACTCAATTCATTATCAAAATGTTAAACCATGTTATTGATATTATCTAATCCACATAAAGAATACTTACTACCTCGATACCTTGTATATAGATATATACATTCAATATCTATAGGAAACAAGTTACGGACATCCGTGAATTTCTCCAGGTCAAGTTCAACGATAGATCTATATCTTGTTCACGTGTCATTCACATATGAATGATGGCTAAGTACCAGATACCAACACGCATATTACAGAGATATGTAGAGTTGATATATGTGTGAACGTGATATACGATTCAAACATCACAATATATCATGTGAATCAAAATTGACTGTACCTACTAGGTAGGTAGGTACCTCCAAATATATACCTACCTTCCTCAAACCACCATATATATAACCTCCCATCAACCCCCCCACCCATCACCACTCCTCCAACCCGAGACAACGCAACGAATAAGATATTACAGAAAAACAATTCATTCCTCATGTGATAATGATGCAACTTTTCTCTAGACATGTGACCCTTAGAGATGCCTACTTAGAACGCACCTAGGTAAAGGACAAGCAGACGGTTTGATCGGTGAAAAACTTTAACGTGTATATGTACCTACCTACCTATATATGTATGTATGTGGAACTGGAACATGTAACGAGCGAGTATGTAATTTGCGTAGGAAAAAGGGTATCAAATTATCAATACCCGGATTAAGTCATTTCATATACATACCTAACTATACAAGAGTAAGGAAATTGGGAAGTACCGGTACCTAACTAGTATATAGAATGCATCATCATATACAACTACATTCTTCTAGGTGGCGAATTGAAATATATACACTGTATCGCTGTGATTATCTACATTTTGGTGTTCAGTTAAGTATCCTCTATTTCCTGAAAGATTCTCTTTCTTCCTCTCTTTGCTTCCCCTCGCCCCTTTCTAATGCGAGCTACCTACACATTTCGCCTCTGTTGTAAAATTCGGTTGTGCGAATAATTTGTGAGTGCATTGCTACTCTCCCCTAATGGTTGTTCTCCCGATGCTTTTGCATGACATCGATCACACAACCAATTCCCTCTCTCGACTGGGCGTCCAAATTTCTCAGCACACTCCCGATGGTAGTCACCATCAACACAAAGCTTGAAAGCAATTATTAGTCTGGTACACCTAGAGTAAACATATGATAAATAAACTTACTCTGCCACTACATTGTATAGCATTACTTTGCCATACTGAAACTTGATGACCACACACGCAATCATGAGGACCTCTCATCATAGGCTCGACGTCTGCGGGCTCCACGTCTGGAGTTGACTTTGATTCCGACTTCGACTTGGATTTAATCTCTTCTAATTCCTTCTTTCCCTGTTCAAACATCTTTTCACAATAGGACATAACTGAACCGACTTTGAGATCACCCCTTGCTACCCACAATTCAATCTGCTTGCGCCATTCTTTCTTTCGAGCCTTCTTCTCGGCAAACCAAACGCGATTTCTCGCTACAAATCTTGTGATGGTTTCCGGAAGATGAGATTGATTAGTGAGCCGCTCGGCCATGATGAACTCTTCCCACTTAATAAAATACTCCTTTTCGTCATCTTTAACATCCGTGTAATCATTAATAATCCATTTTCGTTTATGGAGAAGGTAAGATTCGTCATTCTCATCATCAGTATCAGGTAACTCATCTCCAGGTTTCAAAACCCGCCTTGTGCGGTAATCATTAAATTCTCGGGTTTTGACGTCAGGAGCATATGCAGATCTAGGATATGGACCATGTTTAACATCAGGAACGTAGTGCTTATCCTTGGTTCTGGCTGGCGAAAGAGCCAGGCGTTTAATATAACCAGGTACCGAGGCAGAACTCTCACCCTCGTTTGTGTCGGGATCATTATTCGACATTTCTGGCGAGGTTTGACGTGAAGTTTGGCGTGAGGTTTCGGGTGATGGAAATGAAGTAGTTTTGAGGTTCAAACGAGCAAGGATTTCTGAATCTGGCCATTGATTATTTAGAGGTCCTTCCCTATTTTCCGCCCAAGAATAGTCACCAGAAAGAAATTTCTCCATATCCAACAAAGTGTTGACTTCCCCAAACTGGACATTTTGCAAAGGGTGAATCTCCCTCGACTTTCGAGACTCTTTGTTGATTTCGATGAAAAACGAAGACTTGGGGCGAACGTGAAATGTAAATCGTAAATGTGTGGTTTTGAAATGGAGTCGAAGACTTTCCATAGATTTAGTATCTACATTGCATATAGGACACGAGAATCCTGCTACCACGTGCGTTTGTTTGATATTATATGCTTCCGCATTTGCTTTGCTGACCGTATAAGTCACAGATTCCCCGGTGTCAGCCGCAGTGAAAGGAGTTTCCGAAGTTTCTCTAGCCCAATGAGCTCTTAATTTCTTGCCCTGAGCTTTTGCACTCAATGCTTTGAGATTATATGTTGGGACGTTTGCACGAACACGTCTTTGACCACGAGAGGGGCTTTCGGGATCTATTGTTGTTGCCTTTTGAGGAGACAAAATTTGAGCCAGACTCAACTCAGGAGCTAACTCTGGAACCGGCGTCGGCACTTTTGGTACTTCGATATGTTCTTCTTTTTTATGTAGATGACTTGGGAGTGACCATTGTATATCTAATTTCAATGATGCAGAAGTCTCAATACTTTCCCCATCATACAGTAGCTCAATCTCTGCTGTACTTCGCTTGCTATCCCAATCAAATAACAAAAACTCGCATCTTATTTGACGCACATCAGTAAGTTCTGATTCTCCTTTGAATATTCTTTTTGCGAGGCGACTGTCATGTGGTAGACTGGAAAATGTCAAAGGTAACCAGTCTCTTCGATTGGCGCGGAATGGCTCGATCAAAAATTGAACTCCGTATTTCCCAAGCTCGTTTGGAGCTTTTAGTTGATCAAATGGATCATGAGAGTTTGGATCTTGAGAGAGGACCTCTGAGGGTATTATAAAGGGTGGTAAGTGTATGGGAAAGGTGTCATTTTGACGACCTTCAGATATCATTCGAATTCTCCCAGTCTGAGGTTGTCGATAGATATCTGTAGATGACCCATCTTCCGAAATACGGAACAAAACTAAAGTACACTTTATATTGGAGTATTGACTCGTGTTTCCATCGCCATTTTCTTCAAAATTTGAGTTTTGGATGATACTGGCAACCTGGATCCGTAGCAATTTCCGGAAGTCCACGGCGTTTTTTGTTAATTTCAGTACAGAGTCAATACGAACTCGATCAGATATTGATTTTTTGAGACCGTAAAAATCTGTGGGCTTGATCTTATTCACCTGAGATTTACTAGGTAAACGTGGCGGTGGAGATTCTTCACTTGTAGAACGATTAAGTGAAGACGGCTCCATTATTGAAGCAGTAGTAGAAGTTGAAGATATGGATCGACTTGAAGGATCAAGAGTCGAAACTGGAGCTAAGTCGGTATTGGTCGTCTTTCTTCTTTTGATAGGCCTTATATCTTCATCCTCATCGTCTTCCTCATCAGATGCCAAAATCTCACGTTCATGTTTTTGAGGCGGTGTGATAATCTTGAGAGATGAATATGAGGAACCCATCTTGAATTTCTCTCGGTATCTTATAGCCTTTTCGAGGTTGCCTCGTAAAAAGGGGCGGAAAGGTTGACGATGATTTGATAACCAATTTTCAATCCCGATTCCTCCTCCATTGATGCCTGCTGGTGACATTTCATTATCGTTCAACCTTTCACTGGCCACAACGCGCCTTTCAAAAGAAAGAAGAAATGGTAAGACGAAGTGAATTCCAAATTCTAACCGACAGGGGGTCCAGCAGAACAGCCAATGCTGATTCCCAAGACTCGTAGTTACTATTTGAGTACTTCCTAGGTAGGGAGGTATGTACTTGGGTTGGGTATCCACAGTATCAAAACAATGAAGCTTTTTGAAAATATCGCACGCGTAATGCCGTGTTTTTGTAAGGGTAACTCGAGAACCCTTACAAATAGGGAGGAGTGTTACACGATTGAACAGAAAAAAAAAGACAAACAGCCTTGTGGGTAAAGAGCGTGTGGTTGTAGTATCTGAGTACAATATTAATCGAAAGAAGTGGTATGAAGATTGTATGAGGTAAGGAGTACGTACCTAGGTAGAAGATGTAAAGCAACGTGCACTATCAAAGTGTCAGAGGTAGGTAGTAAAGGATTATTCAGAGGTTGCTCAAGAGGGCGGGAGAAGTCGAATTATTTCTTTGATTGCATTGATACATATTTTTTTTTGGGTGTCACTTGTGCTGTCGTGTCGATACTTTGAATCAAATATGTCTAAATGAATCTGAGCCTCTCTTCCTCTTCTGACTCTGATAGATACCCACATCTACCTGCGAAACGAAGGTAATAGGTGATACTTTATTTCAGAAATCCACATGCATATCTTCAATCAAGCTGAATAATGGCTCCCATTCCAGCATCGAACCATTTATCAATATTTGAATATTTCTTGCAGCATGAGATGCAGGTCTCCTTAAGGAAGGAGTTACCGAGGTAAATACAGGGGTTATGTGCTCTTAGCTCCAACCTTAAATTTCTTATCGGATTAACCGATATCGCGCTAGTGTCATCTTGTCTACAGGTAAGAAGATCAACATCATTGAACATCTAAGTGAATCATCTCATGGTTTGGTAAAAGTAAAGAAAGCTCTTCCATTCAATACTTGTTCATTTATCATCAAAACCTTGAGAATTCTTCACTTTCAATCCAATACATAATTGCATTCAAAACTCACTAGCAAAGAATCATACTGCTGCTGTATAAAGATATACTGTCTGTGCAATTGTCCATTTCAGCTTCTTTAACTCACAACATCACCTTCATGAGTTCCAACCAGCAAACAACTAAGTTTTATAGGCATGGCTAGATCTTCGATATCTACTCGAGCTCTGCGGACCCCACCTCGATCTACCAGAGGAAATCCTACTTTTTCATACGCAGAACCTCCGACCAGCGATGACGATCTAGAAGAGGAAGCAAACGGCGATGTCGACGAACAATCACATAGTGACATCTCTCATGCGCCACCTACGAGACGCTCTCGGGCACGCACCCGAAATGTGCGGGAACCACGGTCTGCGAATAATAAACCACAAGTAGCTATCACGAAGAGCACTCGGCAGAAGCCGGTAATTTCATACGCAGAATCATCGACTGATCATGATTCGGAGGAGGAGGAGGAGGAGGAGGAGGAGGAGGAGGAAGACGATAACGAATATAATGAACCTTCCTATAGTGGCGCAACTCATAAGCCCCGCGCAAGACTCCCTCGAAATGCTTCACACTCTCGTTCTTCTGCCAAGCGAAGCCAATGCAATTCCCATGAATCAACGCCGAAGAGAAGAAAGCAGAATAAATCAACCTCTAACAAAAGATCCCGAGTTCAATCGCCAGCTTTGCTCGTAGAAAATCCTGAAGATATTCCGCCATGGCAGACTCTTCCATATCATGTCCTAGTTCAAATATTCGAGTACGCCACATATCCACTGTACGAAGAAAGAACCTTTCAACCTCTTCCATCTGGGAGATGGCTACTAGATGTCGCATATCTTTGTCGGGGGTTCGCCGAGCCAGCCTTTACAGTATTGTACAACTCGCCTCCTCTTGTTCCAATGGATAAAGCACATCGGTAAGTAACTTTAAAATTCCGATGCAAGCTCCCTAGCTAATTGCATGATTAGACTTGTAGATTTACTCAAATCTGACCCTGCGATGTTGGCTTTTGGCTACAGGCAAAAAGTTGTCAATCTTCGTATTGAAGTCAGGCAAGTTGCTGCCTATTCTTTACCTGGCAGTGGACTTCTGGATTTGCATGGCTTAATAAAGGACTTGCCAAGATTGGCGGATCTGGAGTTTTACGACCAGAAAGATTCGAAGCCTTTCAAACAACTTGACGAATCGATTAGATGGGAATATCCAGTTGCGGTCTTTGAAGCACTAGAGCATGTTGAGCCGGCTGCAGATATTACCAAAGGAGATAAAACCAGTCTGTGCAAACTAAGAAGCTGGCGTTGGTCGTCCAGACTAGCAGGTAAGAGGTGGCCCATTGAAAAGATTCGCGAGATTCACCTTAAGCCATCTTTCATCGGACTAAAGAAGATTGCGTTTGTTAATTACCAAATTCGAAACCCTAAAAAAGGCGAGGAGGATCCAAAACTTGAAGAATTATTGGGTGGAGCGATTTCCGCCCTGGAGGTACTGGAACACTTGATTTTTGAATCATCGACGCTACTTAATGCGAAACTGATGCCCCTCCTACCATCAAATCTGCGAAATCTGGAAATCACTAATTGTTGGGAGGTCACTGCTGAAATGCTTGGCGAATATCTCCTGACTAGTGGCAGACAACTTCGCTGTCTCACGCTCAATCATAACTCTGCCTTAAGTCTAGCCTTTCTGCCATCACTTGGTGCAGCATGTCCATATCTGGAAGTTTTAAGAATGGACCTTCAATATTTCGATGCACATATCTCATACCACAGTGCTGAGCCGGATTATGATCAGTTGCTCGCGAGTGATCAAATTCCTGAATGGCCAACCACACTCCAATCCCTTGAGCTTCTTAATTTACGCAAATGGGACAAAAAAGCCGCAGAAATGTTCTTTCAAAGCTTGTTGGATAGTGCAGGCGAGCTTTCGGATCTCCGAATTCTGATTCTGCAGACAAGTATTAATATCGCATGGAGAGATAGGGCTGCTTTTAGAGATAAATGGATCGGCACTTTGGGACAAGTTTTTAAGAGGGTTTGCGATCCCCCAAAGCATTTCTTGAAAGCTTCGCAATTACCAAGAGTTGAACTTTACAAATCGGAAACAGATAACCAAGATACCGATCAGAGCCAACGTCCCGCAAAGAAGCAAAGAGCTCGACCAAAGAGAAACTCCCTCCCATCCCGTCACAGCACACGCGCTAAACGTACAACCAACTATGCTGAAAGTCCCGATAATACTAATGATGAAATTGACAACGAAGAAGATGAAGAGGAGGAGGAAGAAGAAGATGATGATGATGATAGTGTAACATCCACCCCTCCACCTCCACCTACATCAATTCCTTCAGCCCGCCAGGCTGCCCGAAGTCAGCGCGCTTCTCGGGAAATTCGCTTGTTAAAAATTACTGCGGGGATTGATGGATTTCCTTCTTCGCCACCTCAAACTCCTAGTTTAGGAGATGAAAATGGAGATAAAGATACAAGTGATGAGGATATTGATGGTGGAGGTGAGAGTAAGGTTATGAATCCGAATGCAAATAGTACGGGCAAGGGAAAGGCGAAACAAAAGCGAAATGTGATTCAAGGAATGTGTGAGGTGGTTAATGTCAGAATTGATAATTTAAGACCGGCGGAGACGCAGTTTGGCGAGGCGGACTTTCTTGACAGTGAGCCTGAAGGTGATGATGACTGGGATGGAGATGACCTCGATGTATTTGTAGAGGAGGTAGTGGCTTGGTGATCCAGTTTGAGGCGCAACGGAAATTGGAGCATGGTTTGCAATTTTTTTAATCAACTAATTATGGTTAGAGGGCAAGCAAGGGGAGTCAAAGGGTGCATGAGGATATGGCAGGATATGGTAGGGAAAGGTTGGGCTTGACTCATATGCATTTGATAGATGGATGGACAGGGCGCTACGAATTATGAACACACGAATAGGATGGCATAGGAAGGCTAGGGTATCACAACTCTATGAATTGTTTAAGGATCGGATAGCTTCTTTGCGGAGCATTGTTGAATGCGGATACACATATGAATCACGATTACATACTAGGTTGCTAGCATTTCTTCCGCGTTGTATTATAGTACGAATACAAGGAATGGCTGTATAAATATAATTTGGCTTTGAACATATCAAGATGTTTGGAGTGTGAGTGAACTTGAATGGTGGTGTGATGGGTTTCTATATTGCTGTGTGAAGTATGATTTTCCACGAGAATTACAGAGCTCATCGGGGATTCAATCTCAAACTTGACCTCAACAAAATTGATACTAACTTAAGAACGTCTTCATGAATACCGTCACGTGTATATATTCCCCTTGATTTCAACTTCAAGTTTTAACCCCCTTTCGAACTTCACACCATATTTAAACCAAGATAAAGTTCAAACAAATTCAAAGATCTACCCTTCTAAATCAACACCTGCACCTGCACCTACGCGTTGCACAGCATTGCATCTACATTAGATATCAATTATTCAACCCGTGGACCACTATGTAAACCTCAAATCGCCATCCCATCCCATCCCATCCCATCCCATTCTATTCTATTCTATTCTCGTACTGCATACAGGAAAAGGTCAAGCGCCGAACCAAAAACTCCACTCTATCAATAATAGTAAGCAATTGACAGAGTCAGTCAGTGCGACTCTAGAAACCATATTCAAGATGTTCTATTATTGTCCTAACGCCCATTACTCCCTTTCATGTGCATTTCGTGCGTACCTCAGCTGGGGTATCTATATATGTATACCCGACACTTCGTGGAGTGCTTTGCTTGCTTGCGCATGCGCATTTTCGTTGATATCATAAGTACCTATGTAGGTAGGTATCTATCTAGCAAGTAAAGGAACTAGAATAGCATAAAATAACTGAAAAATCAAAAGCAGAACCAAAATCAAAATCCATCTCCTCTATTTATGAAACTCCAAATGACAAACACTTTAGTTGACAGAAATTCCATTCCCATTCCCGTTCCCAGGTCCATTCGCGATAATCTCTCTGGGTTTCCAAGTATCCTCCTGTTTCGTTCCAGGCGGTAGCCAAGAAGCATTACTACTACCCCTCAGCCTCCCATTTCTGTCAAATGAATTGTCATCTGATCTCTTGTTATCCGAATTTCCAGACGACAATGAGTATCCTCCACCTCGTGCTTGGATTGGAGATTCAAAGAGGACTTGGGCTTGAGTGTCGGGTGTGAGTCTACCGGAGGTTGTGTTTAGAGGGAGAAGAGATTCTTCTTTAATATTTAACATTTTGGCTTTGCGGTCTGCTTTGTTGGAACCCTTGGTCCGGTCGTAGAGGTAGAGACCGAAGAACGTGAGGGCAATGCCCAGACCTTGAATTTTGGTTGTAGGGTTTTGGAACCAGATTATAGCGATTACAACGACGAAGACACGTTTTATGAGAGAGGCAACAGAATATGTGACGGGAGAAACCATGCTAAGGAGAACGAATGCGATAATGTTTTGACCAAAGTGGAATGTTCCGTTGAAAACAAATTCGAGGGCTAGACGTCCGTGGTCGAAGGCTTCGGGGTGGGAACTCAAATCAAGAGATCCATCGTGAAAAAAATCACCCAAGAGAGTGATACCTTCTGACCAGAACCAGATAGGTGATGTAACAAGGAAAGCGAGCCCCGACGAGTAGCAGAGGAGATTGAGCTTATCTAATTTATTGGTACGCGGCTGACCTGCTGCTTCTGCGATTGCGGCTTCATTGAAGAGCCTTTTGGAGAATATATTTTGGGTGACAAATATTATGGCTGCGAGGAAAGCGTAGATTATACCAAATATATTTCCTCTAAATTCTGCGGAACAGGCGAGCATGACACCGAGTGTGAGAGGAACGAGGGAGAGATATGTAGCCACTGGATAACGAATATTATATATAAGTCGATATGCGACCACTGTGAATAAGGGGGAAAGCCCTTTGATTGTGTGAACTAGTGAGACCGGAATTTTAGCTGTCGCCGTGGAAGATAGAAGATGGCCACCGATTTGGAAAGCCGCTAAAGGTAGTGTAGTCATAATGACTTCTCTTGTGGGATATCGAATTCCATGTCGTAGAGCTGGAATTGCATTTTTGAGTTGTGGAAAAGTCGCGGAAAGCCAGGAGAAAAACAGACAATAGAATGCGACAAATGCAAATTGAATGAGAGTAAGAGTCGCAGGTTTCGGGAAAGCATTCAGAATCGATTTCGAAGATGTATTTGTCAAGGCACTTGAAAGATACCATACTATACATAAGACCTAAACGAATTAAATTAGTATTTGTTAACGATGCGTGGGAGGTGTCTACAAACAATTAATTTAGGAGAGACTGGAGCCTTTAGAGCATCCGAAATTTCATGTACATTGGCACTCATACTCCCCTTTCTCGACTTAATTGTCTTAAATGCATCACTCAAACTCTTTTGTTTTCTGTGTCCTCTGCCATTATTCGATTCTCCGTTTGTCCAAGAATCCCCTCCCATTCTACCATTTCTTTGTGCCTGCCAACGATCCAGTGGAGGAGGACCACTGGGATATCCATTGGACTTTCGTGAGTTATTAGGATGTTGTCCATCATATTGATCGAAGGTATCGGAGGTATCGAGATCTGGAAACTTCTCCATGGATGTGCGCGAGCTGGCCTTCGTATCACCAGGAAATTTGAAGCTCGTTTGTGCAATTCGACCAGGCGAAGGACCTCGAGTCGAATGAGGCATTGTCGAATATATATCTATAAATTGGAATTATCATCCGAAATATTCATCGCGCGGGGAATGTATTGAATGTAGGTAGTTTTAGATTGTTTGTAGCAATGTCATGAGAGTATTCAATTCAATTGTATCGACCAATAATGACGATGCCGTACTCGTAGGACTAAAAGTTGTTACTTAATTAGCAACGGCTCTAGATTTCGTAATTTCTGACGGTATTTACCGACGCTAAAATAATCGCGATTTGATATTGACTCTCTTCGATAATACCTACATCGAGCATCGCGACGAGCTCTTATTTTATCTCTCGTTGACAAATTATTTAATCGCAGAGCTATCACATAAAATCCAAATACCAGATATATTGATACGAAGCTCAAAGAAGAGACCTTTTTACGAATTTAAGTCACAATCTTGTCAATTGGGCTTGTGGCCCCCCAGGTCGCAAAGATGGCGCCGAAAATGACCAAAAATCAAATGCGGCGCGCAAAGAAGAAGGAGCAGAAGAAAGCAGCACAGGTTGGTCTAAATAAATCATCGAAATTATATTCATTAACAATTACTAGGTGACCCCAACACCAGAAGCAGATGTTCCAAAAGATTCAGAACCAAAAGTCGAGACAGTTGAGCCTGCCGAAACCACCGAGAAACCGATCAAGAACGACGAAGAGCAAGCCAAAAATGATGAAGATCCTTTGGAGGCAGATGTTGCAGCCTTTAACATTTCTGAAGATGATCCAAATTTCGCCATGTTCAAGGATATTATGGAAAGATTTGGTGCTACTGCTGAAGAAGACCAGGCTGCGAAAGATGTAGACAATGGCGACAAAGGTGAAGTATTCTTCGATGGTGATGACGAAATTCCAGACGAGGACGAAGAAGCAGATAAAGAGCCCAAGTTATCTAAAAAGAAGAGGAAGGAGAGAGACAAGCTTTCTGTTGCAGAACTGAAGGCTCTCGTAAGGAAGCCAGAGCTTGTAGATTGGACAGATACCTCAGCTTCGGATCCTCGATTACTTGTCCACATCAAATCATACCGAAACGTCGTTCCAGTGCCGAATCATTGGTCCCTTAAGCGCGAGTATTTATCATCGAAACGTGGTGTTGAGAAGGCTCCATTTTCTCTTCCGAAGTTCATTCAGGAGACTGGTATCGCCGAAATGCGTGACGCTGTGTTGGAAAAACAGGATGGAGCTAGTTTAAAACAGAAGCAAAGGGAAAGAGTGCAGCCAAAGATGGGAAAATTGGATATTGATTATCAAAAGTTGTATGAAGCTTTCTTCCGGTTTCAAACAAAGCCGGAACTAACACGTTATGGCGAGGTTTACTACGAGGGAAAGGAGTACGAGACGAATCTACGACATTTGCGACCTGGCGAGTTGAGCGACGACCTCAAAGACGCATTAAATATTCCGCCTGGAGCTCCGCCTCCATGGTTAATCAACCAACAACGTTTCGGCCCACCGCCTTCATATCCTTCACTTAAGATTCCCGGGCTAAATGCACCACCTCCACCAGGTGGCGCATGGGGATTTCATCCTGGTGGTTATGGAAAACCCCCCGTTGATGAGTTCAATCGACCCCTTTATGGAGGAGATATCTTTGGTGTCCTTCAACCACAAGTTAACAACCAAGCAGGTGAACCTATTGAGAGAACACTGTGGGGTGAATTACAAGCACCTGAAGAGGAGTCTGAAGAAGAAGAAGAGAGCGATGAGGAAGAAGAGGAAGGTGATGAGGAGGACGTTGGTGGTTTGCAAACGCCCAGTGGTACAGAAACACCAGGTGGTATGGCATCAACTGTACCTTCGGAATACCCTGGTGAGATGAGTGTTGGTGGAGATTTTGATCTTCGTAAGCAAAAGAGGGGAACCGAGACCGAAGAGTCCACACACCCAAGATCTGCTTATACTGTCATTCCTGAACGCCAGATCCGCGCTGAAGGCTTCTTTGGCGGTGAAAGAGCTTATGATGTACGCGCTGGTCAAAATGCACATTTACCAGTATTAGGACAAGAAGATACCAAAAAGAGGAAGAAGCCAGGAGATGTAGATGTTGCGTTGGATCCAGATTCTTTGCAGAATGAGGATGGTATAAGCAAGGAAGAAGTAAAACGAAGGTTCGAGGCCCAGAAGAAAGAGGAACGAGGAGCTTGGCAATATGATGAAGATTTAAGTGATATGATTGCTCAAGAGAGCAGGAAGAAGCAAAAGAGAGATGAAGAAAAACGAGGCGAGAAGAGGGAAAGGTCATACAGATTTTAAGATGGAAAGATGTAATGCGGCGTTGAATGGAGGTTGGCAAAGGCACTACTGGTGCTTTTCGTATGTAATATCAGAATACTGGGAAGGCAATGGAAATGTGTGTGAAATAGATTTTACGATTGATACTCTTTGTACTTATTGTTCCTGGCACTCAATTGTATAACAGATCTCAACACAAGACTGCAAGAAGTCAACATCTTGTTCAATCCTCTCATCTGCACGTGAATTAAACGTGCTCGGGATAAAGCGGCCGCTAGTGTCTTTTCAACAGCTTGGAAATTGTTTTTGGAGCTTTGGAAACTGCGACATAATTCATCACATCTTAATTCACTCTACGCCATTTAATGTTCAACTATTTACATGACGCAACAACGATTTGAGACGATATAGTACCAAAATTTGAAGCATATTTAACTCATCTGAGGAAAGTTCGAACGGATATTCACGGGACATTTAACAAGGAGCTCAAGATGGACAGAGGACGAGACAGAAGGTTAGTTCTTATTTACTTTATTCACATGTATATAGTATCCGGATAGCAAGATGGCATATCGACATTGAAAGCATATATCATTGCCGGATCACCGTAAACATTAAAGGAACTTGCAATATCAATACAAAATCCATAACCTCCAAGAGCAAACACGCAGCATACGTTATTTGCAGATCGGTCAAAAGCTACCGTCGTTTGAATGGACGCAGAAGACGACCCGGAAGAATACCCAGAAGCTATATGGAATTGGATAAATAGTAGTATACAATTCGCACACAACTACTTTGCTCAAAGAACCCGCGAATATTGTTCATGGTCGCACGGCACTGCCGATTTCCACATTTGCGCCTGTAGAAAGCACTTCAACGGTCGAGGCTTTCCAGAAAGCAAGAAATGCTCTAAGGAGAAGCCATTACGAGAAGATTATTTCATCAGTCACGCGCGAACAGGAAAATACCTCATATCGTCTGAGGCTATAGTTGGAGCTATGCGTGATCGAGCGGCTCGTACTCGTCGTTTGGCTTGGTATGAGGCCCAGCTTCGTCCTCGTTTTGGGACCCATGGAAGCTTGAGTAACGGAGGGGGCTCGCAGACTAGTGACATAAAATCTCTCAAGGACAACAACGAGAAAAATGTTGGTTCAAGCTACAATCAATCAATGGCCAAAATTGAAAATCCCAACGATGCAACATACACACCGGTTAAAACTGAAGAGGAAATCGACTTGTCGCATGTTGAGAACATCACGATTAGGGCTAATTGGGACTTCGAGGCTGCTCTAAGGCCGAGGAATGCGGGATCTTTTTCGAATAATAGAAAGGAAGTGCTAACGAACAAAAATCGCAGATTGGATATCCGAGGTGATGGCGAAGTCACAAGGTTGGGAGCGGGTGAATCTTATAGACCTAATCATAACCGACGTTCACCACCACGAGCCGACACTTTCAGATCCGATCGCGACAGAGATAGGTCACCTCGTAGAGATCGACGAACTCCACCTTTGTCCAGCGACAGTTATCACCCTAGCGCACGAGATCGTTCTCCAAGGCGTAGGTCAAGGACACCACCATATCGCGCAAGAGACCGATCACCACCTCGAGATATGACTTGGCGTGGCAGACCCCGATCTCCACTTCGAGGAGGTCGAACTCCCATAAGAGCCAGAACTCCAAGAAGATTTTCTCCCAGACGAGATGATGACCGCAGAGATCGACTAAGGTCACCAAGAAGAGATGAAAGGTAAAGTCTATTATCGTCCACATTACGTCAATTTTAAATTGTTCAAACCTAACAATTTTCAGACGCCGTTCAAGGTCACCTTTCGATCGTAATCGCACACCTCTTCGACCTAGATCCCCCATCAGAGCTAGATCTCCCCTTCCTCGAAGGTCGCCGCCTCCAGGCCCAAGAGGTGGTTCCTGGCGTCGCTCCCGCAGTCGCGACCCCAGAGATGTTCGCACTCCTCTCGGTCCAAGTTCGCAAACATGGCGACGTCGTTCACCTTCACCACCTATACGCCGAAGATCACCATCCCCGATCAGGCGTCGATCTCCTTCACCAGCGCTTCGTGATTCGGAACGATCATCAGGTAGAAGTTCTGGCACCAATTCTCGTCGATCATCTCCGCCTGTTCACCCTAGCAGACAAGCTTTAACGCAAGCAGCGACTCGTGAAGCAATACGTTCTCCAGTACCTGTCAGAGATCGATCACCTTCAGGATTGGCATACAGACAAGTAAAACAGGAGAGACCTGCCTCGAAGGATCGCTCACCAATTCGTCCCACAGCTCCAAGATCGCCTCCTAGAGGACCAGCGGCAACTTTTAGAGCCCCAACCGGGCCTAGTGGCGGTCGCAACTTCGCTGCGCCTATTCCATCTGGTCCTTCTTCAAACTATAATTCGAGATCTAATAGTACTTCAGAGGGTAATGGTCACATCGCTCCTCCATCTGGCCCACGTGGTTACGCTCCACCTCGTGGCCCTTCCGCTTCATTGAGAGGTGGTCGGCCATCATTTAGCAACGAGCGCCACAGTCGTCCAGATACCTCATCGTGGGGAGCAGCACCACCAGCTCGACCCAACACTGATTTAAACTCAAGAACGAATCTGCCACCACCCCGTCCTCCACCAAGTGTCTCTCCTTCTCCAGCAAGAGAAACTCCACCTGCTGCACCAACAGGCCCTTCCGGTATACCCACAGGTCCCCGCGCAGGCACTTCAGTTTCGTCTCGCCCCTCTCTTCAACATTCCTCCAGTATATATCATAGCCGCGGTTCTATTTCAGGTCCATCATCGGGTCCTCGTATTCACCCAGCAATGGTAGGCATTCCGCCCATCATACCTGGGGGAAGAATTGATCCAGCAGCTTCAGGTATCCC